CTCGATCTCCATTTTCCAACTTTCAATCTCAACAAGACAACGATGGCGTTCAACTTTTCGCAGAGCAACAAGGCGCTGCCGCTCAAGACCCGCATGGGCATCCGGGACAACAACGAGAGCTTCGAGACGTCGCTTGCCGCCATCCGCACGGCGACCGGCATCGACTTTGCGTTTGAGGTCCACGGCGACGTCCTCGCCTTCAGCAAGGCTATCGACGAGCGCTACGAGGACCGCCTTGGCGAGATTTTTTTTGGCGCGTCGTCGGGCGTCCTCCAGTCGCTCGTCACGTGCCTCACCAACGGCTGCGCCGACGAGATGGTGCAGGAAGATTTGCAAGACACGTGCTCGGCCAAGCTCCTCGTCTTCCGCGTCAAGCTCGAGGGCCGGCCCAGTGGCGGCCTCTACCACCCGCTCAGCATCGAGAACGGCGTCTTGTTTGTCGATTTTTACGCCGACGCTGTGTGGTCCAACGTCGACGAAGTCGGCTGGACCAAGCTCGAGGACGTCCCCCGCATCACCGCATAAGCCCTGCATAAGTTCTTATCTGCATTCGATGAGGCGAAGTTCGAAGTAATGAATCTCGTATTTCGTATCACATGGGCAACTCCCTGCAAACAGGCCATTCAGCTGCGCGCGATGAGCAAAGTGCCCGGTAGTGCGATCTTCCAGCCAATCAGACGTGGCGAAAAGCATGTTGTTGCGCCGAGCTGCGTCGATGGCAGCTGCCCGCGTCGACGCGCAACTGCAGGCGTGGGCCTCGGCGCTGCCTCATGAGGCCGGCGCCGCCTTGCGTGCCAACGGCTACTACGTCGTCGACGGCGCCGTCTCGCCTGCGTTGGCCCAAGCGCTGCGCGATGAGATCGCGTCCTTGGCGGCCGCCGATGCGCTCTACCCGAACGCCACGCACGTGTACGTCAAAGACGCGCCGCGCCCGTTGCTCTTGGAGAAGGCGCACATCCACGAGACCGAGCTGGCCGACATGTCATCCGACTACGCCAGCCTCCACCGCTGGTTTGACAACCCGACGCTGCGGACGACGTGCAATGCGTTGTTGCCTTCGCTGCGCGCCGACCGCCACATGATCAAGGTACGCCTCTGTATACCTGCAAACAGGCTGCATATCATGGCGCAGGTCCAATACAACGACGGCCACGGTGGCTGCTTCCCCATGCACTTTGACACGTACGGCGACGACGGCAAGTGCCTCACGGCGGTGCTGTACCTCAACGAGACGTGGGCGCCGGGCGACGGTGGCGAAATCGTACTCTACCCGTTCCCATACGCGCCGACGACGATCGCGCCCGCGTCCGGTCGCCTCGTGCTCTTCTCGTCCCACCGCATGCTGCACCGCGTGCTGCCGTCCAATGTCCCACGGTCGCTCGGCCGTCCACAGCGCACGACGTCTCATGCCACCTCGTAGCTACTGCTTGACGACGTGGATGTACCGCGATCCAAGCTTGAACGCTGCGTATCCGCCGCACCGCACGCGCTCGAATGGCTACGACACGATGCTGGCCAAGGTGTGTGCGAGTCCCTTCCGCGCGCACTTGGCCAAGCTCGCGTACGCCGACGAGTGGCGGCAGTCGCTTCTCGAGTCCCACGCCAAGACACAGTCGTTTGCTGCCTACCTGCAGAGCTACGACGCAGAGCTCGACGTCATTGCCGCCGCGACCGACAAGATGCTGACGACGTTTCGCAAGAAGAGCGACGACATTCC